ATATGAATTGTGGGATGAGGATAGCGAATGAGCCATATGCGACAAGATGAAGAAACAACAGTGGCTCAACAATGAATGCTCGCAGCGAAGATATGTCACGTAAATGTGAGACATCACGTAGTTGAGACATGTCAGATAAATCTGGTGTCGACATCTTCAAATTTGTATAACACATCAATCTTAATGCTCCAGTTTTTGTTCACTTGGAACAGTGCAAAATATGTTCTCGAATTCCCTCCTGTTTTCATGTTTAAGTATCAGCTATCACCCTTAGGTTTTGTTATCAGATATATGTATAATAAATATAGCACACATACAATGAAACTTGTGTAAGTGGAACACAATTGGTTTCCCTATAATCATTTTCCACTTGGGTGGTGTTCCACTTACACAGATTCATGGGTAACAAATATTATGTTCTGCTTATGGAGGTGTTCTACTTTAAGAGGTACATTTTACTTATGTAAATGGGTTCCACTTATAGAGGTGTTCCACTTACCCAGATTCACGGGTAACAAATATTATGTTCCACTTATGGGGGTGTTCTGCTTTAAGGGGTACAATTTAGAGGTCCCTTTTAAGAGGTACATGGGTTCCACTTATAGAAGTGTTCCACTTATGGAGGTTTATTTTAAGCTTAAAAAGATAACAAAACTTCCACTTAAAGATGTGTTCCACTTACAAAGGTTTATTCTGAGTTAATAGATAAACAAACATGAAGTGTTCCACCAACTGAGATTTATTTGAGGTAACAAAACTAACACTTTAGTGTTCAACTCATGGAAATGTTCCAATTAACAAGTTTTACTGAACATTTACAAATGATGAATGATCAAATGCCTCCTTTTTAACTTTGAGGTATATATGTCAGTATTCTGTTTTATGATTCTTCTCATCCGTCATAATCCACAATCATAAATCTGTATTTTTTGGAATAAAATTGTTTGAATTAAATACTATAGTAAATGTTTGCATTAGAAGTTTGCTAAAGCTGTTTTAGTAGAAGTCTTAATATTTTCTGATCTGTCTAAGAAGGGGGGGGGGGGCATGGTACATCAAAGGCAATACACGCTATTGTTTCATTGTTTTAATCATTCATAAAACAACACTCGACCTCTCAATTTATCAATCTCTTTATCTACTTAAAACAAGATCTTGATAACAAAAATGTCAAAGTTGTTGCCATTGACCTAGATTTCAGGATGGGAAATATATACACCACAAACAAAAACAAACATACAAAAATATTATTTTCAATACAAAATGTATATTTTATTATCAAGGATTGAAAATACACATTAAAATGTACAAATCATTACTTAAACAGGATATCAATACAACCTTCCATGATTGGTTTAGACTTTGGATATCCTTAATTATTCACACAGTACATGTATCTTACATTTTCGTTTCTCTTAAATATATTTAATGCATTCTCTCTGATTGTCCCAGGTGCATATACACCTCAATATCATGCCTATAATCATTCCCAATAATATTTAATATAAAACGATCATTAACATTAATTGCCTGAGTGATAAACTCAGTATGATATCTAATTTTATAATAGAACGAATGAGAACTGCTTTGTCTTTTCCTTTAATTTTACATATTGTGATTAAGAATTGACAAATTGTAACTCATAATTTCAACATAGGTGACACAAATTTACATTCTAACCTAACCTTTCGCATTTTTATTGAACCATATTTTACCCAGTAAAACTTAAGGTAGGCAATTTAGAATGAATATTCTGTTTATATTCATACAGATATCATCTTAAACATCCCTTTCTGCCCACCTTAAAAGTAAACCTGTATCAACTACATCAAAATAACACCATCTTTCAATATTGGTATATGATATATACAAAGGTCTGACCAAGTCGCATGGCTACATACTACAAAACTATTTTTCCTGAGACACACAAGACAACTTTCAATGTAAGCTCACACTACATGGTCAGACCTGTGTTTCGAATAACAGAACTGTGTTTCTTATGACAGAACTGTGTTTTTAATTACAGACCTGTGTTTCTTATGACAGACCTGTGTTTTTAATTACAGAACATCACTAATAACATCAATACAGTAAGATGTGTGATTCTGTAAGTTACATTTCCATTTTGACTTTTTTCATTGACTATTGTTTACATTTGAATAGCATTATTTGAGACTAAGAACATCATAGTCCACTACACAGTCCCATAAAATGCCTGATTGGGATAGTGCCTCAATCATTTACAAGGCTATGTTTCTTGGGACTCTGCACTGGACTGTATGACTTAACATTGCAGTCCACTGCACAGCCCCATTGAATGGTTCTAATTGAACCACGACTTCATTCATTTACAAGAAAATGTTTCTCACAACTCTGCAGTAGTCTACTTTATATTACAGTCCAAAATGAACCATGCACAATAGAAATAAAGTAAATTCTAGCATTATACAATTCCAGATGCAGTCTACCACACAGACCCAAAAATGCCTTTCCATTCATTGTGCATTTGTAGAGGTCAACAACTTATTCAAATGGGCATTTTCTTGGAGCTTTGTGCTGTACTGTATCAATGTTTTCAACTGATGCACTCTTATTCGTAACTGCTATGTACAAGCAAAGCTAGGATACATCACTAAAATATTTCATTTTCTTATCATATTATGTAAGAAACTAAAGCAAGCCACATTTTTCAAGTTTCTCACTCTTTTTTCTCTTACTGTACATTTTACTTTGTATTCTTGTAACTCACTTATTTAAAGTTGTTGAGAAATGTTTCATAACATAATGTGTAATACATGTACATATACATACAACATAATATGTATTGACTATATATTGAATGTGCTGATAGACAAACCGCTTTATGACTACAACCTAATACAATCTCATTTTTACATGATTTTCAGTTTTCTATCGAGACCCTTTTAAGGCATATATAGGCCAAGCTAAATGTATAAAGTGTTTAACATTCAATAACTAGGTTGAGGAGTATTAATCTTTTTTGACCTCATCTCCTTTTTGCTAAAAATCTTCACATTAAATTGTGTTAATTTAAAAATATAAACATTTTCCATTAAAACAGATAAAATTTAACTAAAATCATTGTGACGATCTAAGAATTGCTGCATATGCTCAGAGACTGTTAAACACTTTATTAATTTACTGTGGCCTTATAGTATATGTACACTACTGAAACATATGCTTCTGTTTCTTCGGTAACCAGGGTGATCAAAAATAGAAATGGCTGTTTATTTCATATTCATTATAACAACCAAGACTACAGTGGAAAAGTTTGTTTCTTTCCAAAAAGCTGTAAATTGATTGGTTTATCCTCTACTTCTTGGTCACCCCTCGTACACTACTAAAACAACTTCTCTCGATCTTTCAGCAGTTAAACAAAAAACTTATAAAATCTACTATTATCAAGTCCATACCATTTCAAGCTGTTCGTTAATTGTTTGCTTGAACACACTAAAAGACAATAACATTTTTTCCTACTTTCACTTAAATAATATTTTCTTTTACATATACAAATTTATCTACAATAATATACATTATATACAATGTCTTTTAGGTGTACCTATTCACCATGTTCCATACACAAAGACAATGTAACATAGAATATTGCCAATTGTACACCATGTAGTACAATATGGTCCATAGTACTTTGAAATGGGATAGTATGGTCCATAGTACTTTAATATGAGATAATATGGTCCATAGTACTTTAATATGGCTCAATATCATATGTTCCAAAATCACCTGTGCAGGTTCAATACTAGCATAACAAATCTTATATAGCACCAATTATATTCCAATCAATACATCTTGTTTCAATATAACATCCATTTAAATTGGTGCCTGCTATTTAGTGCCAACTATTTAGTGCCCACTATAAAGCACCTTTTCAAAGAGATCCTGGCAAAGTTAACAAATCCATCAATTATATTCACAAACATTTAATGTCAAATACGCCTTCCCCAAACTTTGCAAAGTTGATTTAATGTTAGACATTAATAAACAGGGACAGTGTAAACATATAAATAAATAATTAGCAATTAGGGGTGAGACGACAACCCGATGAGTCGAGGACTCGCGGGTTTGGGGCTTCGAGTCGAGTCGAATCGAGTCGAAGTTGATGAATCGAATCATTTTCGAGTTGAGAAAAAAATTCGAAAAAATAAAAAAATTCAGAAAAATACTGTCAATATGCATGTTTTTACTCGATATTGTGTTGAATATATAAGTTTCAATGACTTGGATATGCATGTATTAAATTATTATATTGTATGTACACATAAATGAAAGAATATATGTAATAAAATCAGAATAAACTTACGACGAATTGTGTTTGTTTATATTTCCGGCTTTCCACCATTGACGCATTAAAAATACGAACGGTCAAAAGCGATGTTGTTCGCACTTCGCGCGACTCGAAACGGATTCGAAACTCGAATCGTCATTTTCTGACTCGAATCGGATTCGACTCGAATCAGATTTTTTCGACTCGTCTCACCCCTATTAGCAATACATGGCACTTAGTTTTCTTTCAAATGTCCTAGTAGCATCAACAAGTTAACATTACATTTCTTGTGATATCTAATTCAAGTAAACATTGTGATATCTGATTCAAGTAAACATTCACGTAAACATTGTGATATCTCATTGAAGTAAACATTGTGATATCTGATTCAGGTAAACATCGTGATACCTCATTGAAGTAAACATTGTGATATCTGTTTCAAGTAAACATTCACGTAAACATTGTGATATCTCATTGAAGTAAACATTGTGATATCTGATTCAGGTAAACATCGTGATACCTCATTGAAGTAAACATTGTGATATCTGTTTCAAGTAAACATTGTGATACCTCATTGAAATAAACACTGTGATACCTCATTGAAGTAAACATTGTGATATCTGTTTCAAGTAAACATTGTGATACCTCATTGAAATAAACACTGTGATACCTCATTGAAGTAAACATTGTGATATCTGTTTCAAGTAAACATTGTGATACCTCATTGAAATAAACACTGTGATACCTCATTGAAGTACACATTGTGATACCTCATTGAAGTACACATTGTGATACCTCATTCAAGTAAACATTGTGATATCTCATTGAAGTAAACATTGTGATATTTGATTCATGTAAACATTGTGATATCTCATTCAAGTAAACATATTTCAGTGCACATTTAGCATGTTTTGATCCTAAATATGCAAGTTACTCACATTATGTGCAAAGTTTTGAATATATGCAGCGGTAACATATTATTTAAAATATAGAGTTGAGGTATTCGCAATTTGTTCTTTACTGATTTTTGGTCCTATGTGACATAGAGTTGTCATTTTCAACTTTTAAAGGCACATTTCAATGGAAGAAATTCTGATGGCGATATAAGCTGATCACATATTAGTATTCATAAAAAATCACTAAATGTATGACACCATATCATAGTTACATCTGACATCAATGTTACATCTGACATCACTGCAACACATACAACACCATTGTTACATATGACATCACACTTGAGTATGCAAGTGACCATTTATCCTTGACCTTAGAGTGTCATCACCGCTTTCATAGTCTGACAGATTCATTTCACTGTCTTCAATCTCGCAGAGGTTCGATATCTCAGAGGCTGATATCTGCGATTCACTATCATAGCCTCCTATAGAGACGCTCATATTGTCTTCGAGTCCTGATATTGCGGAATGATCATAATCTGTGTCATCTTGAGGGAACCTATGTGGTTTCCCTGCCTGGGGGAAGCCATATTGGATGACGTTGGAGTCATCATCGTCCTCAATTTGTGCGATCTCACCGTTCTTTGGCACATTGTTCGCTGCAGCGCCTGCTTCCCCGTTTACACTTCCATTCCCATTTTGTGAATTGTCTAGATCGTGATTTGGCAAATAATGGTTCCTATGGCGATTATAATCCTGTGGGAGGTCCTCATCGTCGTAGTAATTCAACTCAGCCTGCATGGCTAAGATCTCTTGGAAGTTTGGCACATCTGGGTACTCCATCTCTCCCTCACCCTCCATATCCTCATTATCAGCATACTCAGAATCACCCACATACTCGGAATCGATAAATTCAGAATCGGGGTATTCATCGGTGAGGTTAGACATGAGGCGATCACGCTCAGTAGGTTCTACGTCTTCATTGCCTATGTGTGTGTTGGACTCATTGCTATGCTGGCTGTGGACGCTGGCACTGGGGGAGTCGAGGATCTCGTGAGTGGGGACCTCTGTGATGTTGGGGAGAGCAGCATTAGGAGCCCAATCTGAAGTGTCCCAGTGGTAACCTGCAACAGTATTGAAAATATTAAACAACATACTTCATAACATGAAAGTTATAAATATCCCCAAAGGTTTAACACTTTTTCAAGGAGGCGACATCTAAAAAAATGTAAATTATGATTCCCAATTTTTAACTGGTTTTAAGATAATGATAAAATTGTAAAAGACAATTGAACTCAAGAGTCTTTTGGTCTCATACCGAAGTGCATAGTAGTAGGTGGCATCTATAATGTTTAATGCTTTTTCAGAAAACATAGGACCTTTAATGTACTATAGTATTATAAGTGCCATCAGATTTTTTGATGACACATATTTATTTTCTAATTTATTTACCTCGGTTCTTATCACCATAGATACATGAACCACCTACCCGTTACCATGGTTACCATCATACAATATACAGACACCAGTAAAAGCTAACTTAACTATAATACCATAAACCATATAAACCAAAGAAATCAAAATGACAGCATAATATATTTAAATGAAACCATATAACCCAAATCATAAATAAATACATACACAGTATATAAAAATAATTTATTTTTGAAATGAAATCATTATACCACATCTAAGATATTGAAAAACTTTTAAATCATAAAATAATCCACATTTCAAGATTAAAGCTGGATCCAGGGAAACACAGTAACACTTGATGATCATTGTATCAATTAGATATATATAAAAAGAAGGGGGTATGTCAGAGTTCCATTTGTGCAATTTCGAGGTTAAATAGAAGAAAATTATTGTAATCAGAATTTATCTATCTTTAAATATAATCAGTTCTCCAGTATCATTTTTGCATTATTTATATCTAGTATATTCCATTATAAAGCCAAAGTTAACAGTAGAGCCGAGTCATAAGAAAAGTTCTTTGATGTAATGTGACTATATACAAGCAATCAAATTGGCAATATACATTCCTTAATTTAGTTAAACACAACAAAATGAAATGTGTGTTTTATATTAAAATGTGATCTAATGAAATGAATGTTTTACATATGAGGCAATGACTTTCCTAAAACTTTTTGAATTGTTAACTTGAGTATACTTTAAATATTCTGTTCCAGAGACCCCAAAATAAATGTTCCAAATGACTCGGCTCTAATATAAGAGATAAGTAAAGAAGAATTTATTTATTTATTTGTCTAATTTTACAAAGAAATTAAGGCATGCTTAAGTGATGGTTAAAAATGACATCCTACCACTTGACTCCTTAGTACCAGCTACACATGCAAAAACCATAGAAACATTTCATTAAGAATTACAAATATACTTTACATTAATGAAAATATGAAATTAATCTCACTAGAATGACACCCACACAGTTGACTCTCAAATTAAAATTAGTACATCATGCAGAATATCAAAGGGAGTGACCCCATTTACCGGAATAGCTTTAGTTTAATTTAAATATCAGAAGCTGTAAATGAAATAAAGTTTAACGATAATGGTATCTTAGAATAATGTTGTTTACTTTTTATGTTACAATAACAAATTGGTAATAATCAAATAATTTTAAGTACTGATTTTCTTATATTCATGCATACATAATTATTACTTATTCTGATCTATATTTTGTATTACGATATTCTATGATGAAATCTTGACACAAGCAATTGTGAGCACACAACTTTAACAATATCTTTTTATTAAAGTACTTAACATCAAATCAAGCAAATCTCAACCGCAATTATTTACTTATTAACTCTTAATTGAAAGTTTAAAGCTTTTGTTGATAATTACTGGCAAATATCTTAGTTGAAATGGTCTAGTTAATATAAAACGAAGCTTTTCAAAATTCTTTATATTGAATGCATATCACTCTTAATTTATGCATATCAGTCTTAATTTATGCATATCACAGACTCTTAATCAATGCATATCATAGAGCTGTATACCATACCAGGAATTTCTTTTGAGAACCACCGAACAATTGAGTCTAGCAAGCCTGTATATTACATATGAAGAAGTAAAAATATTGCTTACATGTTAACCAATGGGAATATGAATTTGCAATACAGTTTTCATTGTTCATTAATCTTTTAAATCACAACAACCAATTTACATTTAGATGTAAATTTTTTTTTGAAATTCATAAATGGGCATATACTAACAATTTGCTTAAAATAAACGTTGTTTTATAATAAATATTTCATCTAAATCATCTCATACATTATTATGTGCTCCTTTTCTAAACATTTTTTTATATGATTCAGTTTGATCGACAATCACAACATGTATAAATATTATTTTAAAATACCAAATAAATCATCACTAACAGTCCAAGTGTTCACACTACAACATGCATTTTGAGGTGTTCCCATATACATGGTGTCCACAAAATTGTCATAAAATTTGCTAACATATTGATTGTGGTCACCCTGTTTCCCTGCCAACATAAACTCATAGCCTTATAGCAGAGAGTATGACTGACAGGGACTTCTGGGAACAAACCCCTCCTGTGCAATACAGACAGGGCCATCTAGTGACTGCTCTATATATTTCCCCCTAGAGGTCACTTAGATCACTATATGGACCAAAGAGAGCCCAGATGGTGTAATGTTCAATTTATTAATATTTTTTATATGGAAATCTCCCCTTTGATTCTACTTATACCCAAATGAATGTTATATATAAGGTTATATGTAAAGTATTGAAAACCAAAAATGCTCTAGTATTCAAGGGGTTAGAATATTATAACTTGAATAACCCTCAGCTGACTGTTCATAAATATTCACCATCAAGGCCCCAAAAGACTACATGCAAGCCCATCTCCCTATACATGCCCAGGGTGAGAGCACATCTAAGGTCAAGGACATATGCCCTAGATCATGCAAAGGTCATAGGGGTCACACAAAGGTCATATACCTTGCTTCTTTCCTTTGGATGCTGTCAAAGGATATTTATAGTAGTTAGGGTGTGTCAGAGACAAAGGGTGGTGATTGGTGGAATCAAAGGCTACAATAAAGAGTGAGGCATGATGGTAGACTTAAAATGGCAACAGTATATTGAGTTATTCATATAACCAGGAAAATTGTTCAGATGTGAGCTTATTTATAATGTAGCATGAGCTAAGTTACAAGCTTCACAAAATCCTAGTGATCATTCTACCTTCTATAAGGGACTGTATTGATATTCTATCGATGGCAAAATTATGAAAGACAATATAATGTTTGGAAACATTTATGTAAATCTATTTTCATTTTTTATTGGTGATGTATGATTATACTGTTACCATTAGACATAGATGAGATAATGGTTTACTGAACAGCTAGAATTTTCATCTGGATTTGAAAATACTCTGATTTCAAACTTATTATAAAGACTGGAGGTCCAGAAAGAAGTCAACATTCATAAATGAAAGGTGCCAATTTGCTGAAAATTCTTACTGTTCATATACATGTACATGGTATGAGACATAAAGACATTAATGATTTAGAGGGACGCTAGTCTGTAGAATTTCCCTTATAGCCTAAAACATATACACTGTAGATTATTTTACTTGTTAATTTACATTGATTATTTACCTCTGAATTTTGCATCTAAATAATCATAACTGCATCCTAGAATTGTAGTGAATGTAAAATTGTATAAAGATGATTTATCAATTGATTAATATCTGATTAATATTTCAGTGATTAATTTTGGTGCATATATACGACACAACACAATGCTAATATTCAAGAGACACGTTTGATGTTAATGGTATTATCACAGATTTTTTTAATTTTGAGAAAAAATTCAAAAGTTCATTTTTACATTATCTACAGACAGTTCCCTAAATCATGCTGTGCCACAGAAGAGGTGTGTCATTTCCATATGACAAAATCTTACTGGGACAGATGGGAAAGAACCTCTACTGTTGTCTTACAACCATGCATACACATATATTTTCAACCCGATTCCACCATATGTTATTACCATGCCCTCTCTTTTGTAGCCTTCTTTACCAGTATAAGTGTATTTTACATGACACACAGGTGAATATAATACATTTATAATTCCAATGATATAATTCAAAAAATTATCCTCTGTATTAACTTGAGTATATGATGACTGATCGTGTAAGAGGAACTTTGAGTAAATAAAACAGGTGAATGGGGAGTGACCCTCATAGTACTCCCCTCCCCCTGCATAACATACAGTAGGGCACTGGCGGATTTTGAATCAGGAAAAAATGTTTCGCCTAAAACCCAAAATGGGGCACAAATTTTGAAAATTTAAGGCCCATTTTTTTTTAAAAATAGGCTGTAAAAGGCATAATTATGCCCAATAATGCCCATTTTTTGAGGCCCTACAAAATTTTGGGCCCAAAATTAACACAGGATCCGCCAGTTTTAGGGTGGAGGAAATCCCCAAACACCAGGACTATGAAGATTTATAAATCACAATTACTTGTGGGATTACAATTATAACCTTTTTAGTACTTTTACTTCTTTAGAACAATTTTAAGTTTACATAATATTAACAGTTGACATATAACACACATTGGACAGTGTTAGGTATAGACAATTGTGAATATCAAGGTTTACATGTGAATTCATAACAAGACAGAACTAGTATTTACATCATTACCGGTGAGCTGGATATTAGTTGAACACACTCAACATGTTAATAAATAAACATTTACATTCATCAGGCAATATCTTCTTGATTCTATGAAAAAATCATCTACTTATAAAATATCATCAACTGAGAATATAATTAGCTACAGTACTTCTAGGAGAAACAAAATGGATTACTTTTGAATGTTAATTCTAGTCTTTTAAAAATATTCACACATACTATTTAGATATACGTGAGTTTGCTCAGGGTATCACTCATAATCCTGTCACTCCTGACATCAACTATGATACTGCGAGCAAGCTTACGATAAAATGAGCTCTAAATTGTACCCATGAGTGTTATTCTACTATAAACAAATATTCCTGATAGCATAACCTATCATTAATATACAAGTCTAAAATAATATTTTCACTCTGAGATTATATAGCTAAGAATATTCTCTATTTGGAATTATTCAGTATAACAACCAGTCTAAATATATATTTGTGGTAAGTCATGATGACGTCCATTCATATATTGCTAAATGAATTCACTCCTGATTGTTACACTGTAGACCCTGGTAAAAAAGTAACTAACATGCTACTTATGCAGTTTTCAAAACAAACATGGTTAAAACACACTTACTCCCATTGATAAAATTGAGGGGAGGGGTCTACCATGGTCAGTTTGGGATTAGAAAGCATAAAAAATAGGTTCATGAGTTCCCAATCCTGATGGACCCCTATCCTTAGAACACCCCTGAATGGCCATAATGATCAGCCCCCACGTCTGATATCCCCAAGATTCAATTGGACCACCCCAATGGTGTTAATAATGAATGTATCATAAAGGACTATACAACATGTACATACCCATTTGGTCATCTTCAGACTCTGAGACAGGGAGGCTACTGAGGGAGCAGGCAGTGTGGATGTCATCATTTGAGGCAGCGAGCATCTGCATCTGTTCAGTGTCTGTGTCAACTGGGATGTCCTTCTCTAGGTTGTTCACCTTCTTCATACCATCTACAATGCAACACCAGTGTATGTCTTAAATAACAGGCATTTCATTGGTGTTTTTGGTAACAGGCAAAATGAATGAAAACAACTGACAAAATTATTCAAAACTCGAATTCTGATATGGTAACCACTTTAAAACAAGAACCCGTTTCAATGTTTGATAACATTGTGCACTGATATGCTTTTCAAATCCACAAAGGATATAAGAAAATCTGCTAACATAATGGATGGAATGTGATAATTCATGACATTTTTGACAAAGTTAAATTTGTGTAAAATGAAATATTTACCTTCAGGCTGGAAGGTCTGTAAGTTGGCAGAATAATCATATTCCCAGTTGGGTTTATTGAGAGAGCCATGTTCGGAACCATCTTGCGACCCAGGAGCAGCCATGCTCGCGATCTGCTTCTGAACATTCAGATTCTGGAGGAATTCTGGGATATAAATCGGCACTGTGGGTAATGTTTCAAGATCATCGGCTGCTGATCCATAATTTCTCGCCAGATCGAAGTTGTTCAATGTGTTCATGGAGTCACCGTGAATGCTTGGGGTGTAGGAGACAGGGCGGTTGGGGACAGGGGGTGGGCGGGGACTGGGTGGAACCTGTTGGTACATTCCCATATCTATGTTATTCTGTTTCTGTTGTCTCTTAGCCTCATCCTTTGTGCTATTTAGTATCACCCCTCCAGGTGAATTGTGGGCTACGTCCCCATTATTGCGATGCTTACGCCGGCGCCATCTAACCACCAGTACAATGATGATAACAATCAGGAGGAGTCCTACTCCGACACCTGGAACACCAAGAAGAGCTTTAACCACACTAGTTCCAATATACAGGGTGTCCACAAAATTAAAGCACATTAATGTTCACACAAGGAAGTCACAATGTAAAGGTTGTTTTCCTACCAAGATGATTATAATTTAGCATCATAATGAGTCTATTTCAAAAATAAGTCAGCATGGGAATTCTGGGAAATTTCCTCCTTTGAAGCCAGCATTTCAAATAAATAACTTACCCACAATCCCATAGATTTCTTCAGGGTTAATTCCGAACTGAGTTGAGGTGATAGAGGCAAAGTCTATGTATGTCTCGCAGAGATCTCCCTTAGTGCTCTTAGTGCAGTTGCACTTGAATGAGCCATGTGTGTTGTGACATGTGGCGTCATTCTGACATGGAGACTCCAGACACTCATTGATGTCATGTTCACAGAAGTCACCTAAAACAGCAGAAATGCCCAATGTATACTTGTACAAGGCATTAACGTGCAGAATATCACACCTGACATTAGTTACAAACACCGAATACATGTACTGAACACCACCTGACAAACTCTATCCATTATTGTATAATGTAGGGAATATTGAAGAAAATATTTCAGCAATGTGATGTGCCAGATCATATGAACTTTGAACACATAAACATGTACAGTAAAACCTATTAAAACAACAATCCTACCTTGGAATCCCTTGCAGTTGCAGATGTGTTTGGTTGGACCTTCTTCACACATGCCACCATTCTTACATGGGTTGGGTTTGCAATAAAAGCCATAGTCACATCTCTTGCCTTCAAACCTGCCTTTGCATTTACATTCAAAGTCATTCACTTTGTTCATGCAAACTCCTAAAATAAAATGAAGAAAAAATATGGAGCATCTAACAAGAAATTGAAGAAAATGTTTGCTTTGTGTCAAAATGTGACAAAAACAAATAATTCAGAACAAAACAACTGTTCAAAATAAATGACCTAGGAATGTGAGCATAATTATCTATTATAATATTATCTAATTACTATCTAAAATTACACCTTAAATAGTGCATGTGTATATATGCAATATGTGTAACATATTTTTTCTAAAATATCTATAATTACCATTGTTCATGCACGGGCTTGAGGCACATGGGTTTGTATCAATCTCGCAGCGAGCACCATGGAAACGCCCCCTACAGTGACATTGGTATGACGTTCCACTCAAGACCTGGCAACTTCCTCCATTCAAACATGGTCGCTTTCCGCATACACCTTTAATGGCCAATCAGAAATGAGCATGCATTGAAACATGAATTTTTGGAATTAGTTGTTAGATGAATCATATAGAATGACTGCTAGTATTGTATTATATCAACAAATACATGTGAACTATATTTTTTAATTGTCTACTGGCTGTACTAAAATTAGTACTAACGGCTAATTCAATATCAAACTTAACAAAACAATGTTCAGTATTTTTCATCTTTGAAAACTCTCTATATTCTCTAAATTCAAAAAACATCATTAACTCTATTAAACTACACCATAATAATAATTACAAACTTATAATTTCTGAATCATAAGCGAATGTTAGGTAATGTATTATTTCATTTCAAAAATATAAGTAATCAATTAGATTTGGACTTTTGCAAATAAACATAGTAGGGTCTAATGTTAGTAAAAGTTGCTTTCCAATGTTATATAACTATTGATTATTGAAAAGGTTTATAAAATGCATCTATGAGGGTATATAACAATGCTGTCAAGTTATTCAATTCAGGGGATTTGCTATCATGCCGCATACATGTATTAGTGCCTTGAATCAGTCAAATGTTCCTCACTATTGAATTCTATCTTGGATGGTATTGGGAGGGGCAAAATTAATAAACTACTGCGAGGGAAAGCAAAAAAATGTTAATGGTTCATCCATTCTAAATTAAAGAGTTATTGAGCTTGATTTTACATATTTACAGATTATTTTGTAGATCAGTCATTTCTTGTTTGGCATTGGTGTTTTTTCAACTTTTTATGTGTCCTGTATTCTAAATTTTATTTTTATACTAATATTTTCGTATTCCACATTTTCAACTTTTACCATCTACTATATATGATACAGCATGTCAAATACATCACTTTTATAAGGATTGCTAAATATACAGGGTGTGTCAAAAACATCCATATTTCATATTTTTGGCTCACTCTGTACTTAACAAAATTGTGCTTAAGGTTTGCAATATGCAAGGATAAAGGATTTTATTGGGAACATTTCGCGCCATAACAGCATAGGGCAATATTCCATGATCAGCTACTGTGAAAAAACATTTCAAATAGATCTTTCCGATAAATCCTACCTTGTTTTGATAGAGAAACTGATATACTAGCTAACTCGATGATGTCATAGGTTGTATTTTTCAAAATTAGCAATAAGTTAAACTTGTTTTCGCATGGTCAGATTTCTACCTCCAACCAATGACATCATCATAGTTTTTCTAGTATATCAAGAGGTGGCACGATTTATTGTAAGGAATTTGAAACATTTTCAGACTCTCGTTGTTAATGTATAAATGCATGCTTAAGGCACATGCTGTACAAACCTTCAACACTACCTGGATCATAGTTATCTTTACAGTGAAACTCCACCTCTTCAAACTTCTGCAATGCTCCCACTTCGCTACTTCCTACATATGGCAACTTCACATTATTAATCTTAATTTCTCGGAGACACCCGTGGTAGCCCTTACGAACATCTGTGTACCCGTGAGCAAGATTCTCAACCTCGGCACCGAAGTATACATCATGGCTGTGCAAGTTCAAGACGTCGTTATTGCCAGGTGCGGAGCCTTCTGCCTGGAATTTTCCATCAACGAGAATTTCTGCGTTGTTTCCATGTCGCTCTACGGAGATTGAGTGCCATTGGCCATCGTTGATGTACATCTCAGAGACGCGTACAAGTCCCTCACCACTGCCACATTCAAACCTATACTGGATATAGCCATCAGTGACCTGCAATTAGAAAAATGCATTAAATTGTTTAGCAGATAACAAATTTAAAATTCAACCGGCAAAAATCAATTTTTATACTTAAAGATTAGTAGTATTTGATTTTAATGTTTAAATATAAAATATGTTCATATTTTTGCAGATGATTCCAATAACATTTTAGAATATTTCCACAATTTTTGATGATTTGAATTTCATTTACCTCTAAGATACTGTAGTCAAATCTGCCACTTGCGTGCATAACTGTTGCCTGGTGATCTACGGTGCGCATATCCAATGAGAGGCTAAGTCGGCGATCTATAGGTTCAATTAAGCGCCATCTAGCATAACTTTGACCTTTGAAAGTCAATGGTTTCTTCGCTCCACGTCGACACTCTATAGTAACACAATTCTCTATGTCACCCTTGTCACGATCACACATTGGTCCTTTCTTTCCCTCGGGACATATGCACTCAAATCCTCGGCCTCTGATTGGTTGACAGATCTTGTAGTTGGGACATGGATTGCGGGAACACTCATCAACTTTGTCAGAGCATCGCTCGCCTCCGTAACCATCATTACATTCGCAGTTTGGTTTGAGACTATGTCTAATCGAGACGTAACTTTCTGTGTCAGAATAGATGACGTAAGGGTCTTGGTCATTATGGAACTCAACAACACTCTTACAGTCGCCATTGTCACAGAAATCCTTAGGACATACATCATTCACAATTTTCTTGATCTTCAAATGCATCGCACGCTCAAGTTCAGGCTTAGATTGTATTAGTTTTCGACGAAGTGCATTCCTCTTGAAATACAGGCCATTTGATCTTTTGGCAGCCAATAGGATATCAAGATCAGATTCACTGCGTTTTCTACGTGCGCTACCTGCTGGGGCTGGTTGTATGCTCAAGATATAGATGTCCTTGATCTTGTTCTTCAGCTGCGATCTGATCGCACGTAAAATGGTCGATCTATAAGATGTCACAAATTCCTCGGGAAGAAGGTTTTCAAATCTCAGGATGACTGCATTGGAGACCATTTCCTCAGAGACCATATCCACAGTGAGTTTAACAGTTGAGTATACTGTGAACTTACGATCAGAGACACTCACATTGAGTGTGTACTCACCAGCATCAAGGTCAGGATAGGCAGTTATTATACCAGTCGTAAACTCAATGTCAAAAAGGTGTTTGTTCTGAGACACAATGTCGTAGGTTAGAATATCGTACATGTCGGGATCAGTTGCTTTTACACGTCCGATGGTGCCACCAGGGAACTCATCCATATAGGAACTAATAGACATCGCAAGTGGCGTCACAACAGGAGGGAAAGCGCTTTCCTCAATAATGCTTATCTCTACATACGTATTAGCATACATAGGTTTTGCACCATTGTCAAACACTCTAACAGTGAGCACGTACATATCCTGGATTTTACGGTTGAATTTTCCCGCGGTGCTCAAAACACCATTATTGTTGACCTTGAACTTGTTGTGCTTATTTCCACCAATAATGTCATAGCTGAAGGGTCCAGCATTAGGGTCGAGATCGCAATCAGTCACTTCTATCTTGATGATACTGAAGTCGATGCTCTTGTCCTCCTAAAATACATTATAATGACACAATTAATGACAAGAACTTTGATAAGATATTTTTCAATGTGTTTAACAAAAGAATGATAAATCAGTCATCACATCTCAACTGTTGGTTTGCATGAGTTGGTTTCACTATACCATGTATGTTTGGAATGCGATGACTTCCTTATCAGACCTTTGTGCTCAAACATTCACCATGGTTGCCGTGTATTCATTGGTTGTCAGTGGCAGGTGGTGGGAAATATATTTCTTATGTGATGTCACAACAAGTCCTTTTTGAATCCTACCACCATATACCAATGTTCCAGGAAAATCATGGCTACCATGATTAATTTGGAAGCTTTATGAATCAATACATCTAACACTACACTACACATTTTTATTACTATATCAAGCTTTTCTACATTGCTATGGTGATATTGCGATGATAAAAATTTTATTCAACCTCCACACCCATATTGTTTTTAATACTCCTTTATATAGTTACCTAAATAGAGTTTCTTAATTATTAAACATATTAATTTGATTTCCATTCATGCTATAGAGACTTCAGTAAAGAAAAGTTAATAGAACCAAGTCCCCTTAAACATAGTAGACACCATTTCCCAGTTTTTAGTTTGTGTTCAGTGTATTCAAATATTGCAATTTTAAAACATAGAAACTTATACTTTTTAGCGACATATAAATTATAATTTTCAGTGACTTGTATACAAACATTGAAGCTACATGGAGCATGTGCTGACAACTAAATATAAATATTTTGTATACTGAACAAATAATAAAATAAATTGAAATGAAAATATGTAATAATGACATGCAGAAACCTAAATAAAAATAAATGATAACAAAGCTAATTTCAATTCTAAATATGTGATTTCCATCAAATATACTACCTTTTATACAATATCAACTTTGGAGTCAATTAATTTGATTCTATATGTGATATCTACTTAAATTTGAAAGTGTTTCATTAACTACTTCTTTAGTAATGACATTTTTTGCAATTTTTTGTTAGTTGGGACTTTTCTAAAATTAGCCATTTCATATCGAGTTGAATTATTCAAAGCAAAATCTCAAGAAATTTAAATTAGAGAATGAGTTTTTATTAATCATTAATATATCAACGTCTAGTTAAAAATTTGATTCTTAATTAGACAAAATTTCGAAATTTATTCAAACGACTAAAATGTCAATTTGGGATAATAAGCCAAACATTATGGGGATATAAACGTTGGTTTAGTAGGTTTACACATGTTAGGTACATCTTATCTAGATAAGAGCTACTTGTTCAATTAGGGGAATTTATGAGATCATTATTTTTCCAAAATCACCAGGGTGAGATATCTGTTATAAAAAGGAATTAATATGATATTATATGAGGTAGAACATGTCACTTGCAAAATTTGCAATCAGAATATAATTTGGGAGTTAAGCTTGAAATTGATGAAATTTAAGATGTCGGATTTTTATCAAATGGCCAATATAAAACTAAAGTTCATCATTTTCCAATATTCAGAGTAGAAAGAGGGGTCATCTCAAACAAATAATAGAAAATATCACATCAGTATGATCCTTGAATTCATTGATTAAGAATGTGAATTAAAATTAAGAATAGTCTAAAAATTAATTATGAACTCTTATTCTTCCACAAGGTAACCTTTATTAACTGATTCTTCAAAACTTTTATTTCAAAGTGACCAATACTGATGTCTGTTATTTCTATGTTATGTTTGAGATGGTCTCCGACATGCACATGGGTTGCAGCGATGGGTGCATGGCGCACACACTATACATGGCGCACATACAGTGCATGGCGCACACACGATGCCAAGACAGTCTATTTGCCAACCTGATTTGATTGCACCGTAAACATACGCCGTACGACGCCCTCTTCATTCACCTATGACATCACAATGCAGCAAAAGAAAAGCATATTAAAACCAGTCTTGATTCAGTATTTGGCATTCTCCCTTGTCTAGGCCCTAAGCTGACCCTTTAACTGCTCTATAATGGTGTAAGTCTCCAATATTGAATCTAAGGGAGAATGACCAGATGTCCTTAATAACAATGCCATGGTTACACCAATGCCATGGTAACACCAATGCCATGGTAACACCATGAAAAAAATCAAAAATGTGATTGACTGTATTTTGAGAACCAAGCTTCGGTGTGTATCATCTTTAGGTGTCCCCAATACATTCATATGGGTCAACCACCTAATGTTTTTCTGGGGCACTTTAGCTTGCCACGGAGTTAATGCCAGACTGTATATTACAAGGTTACATTCAGAGTTCTTCATATCACTGATCTACACCAAATTCCCAGCCAATGAATAAAATGACAATCCACTTGAATCATGGCAATATATTTAAAAAATCAATCAAAAGTACTTTTTTAAATTAATGCCATATTTCATGAATTACAAATTAATTTTCTCCTCTAATTTGCTGTGGAAAATTTTATTCAAAGGCTCACTATCCAGTCCTTTGCATAGGCCCAAGGGAGCAATTGGTTCAACTCTGAGAAGAAAAGCTATTTCCCGGGCCTGCACAATAGACTATATCTAATCTATGCATCATGAAACTGTCAGTAGAATTAGTGAATAGATCGGTTGAAATAAGAGAATCAATAAAAAAGTGAAATTATAGGAAAAGAAGAATATTTGAAACATGTAAAATAATATTGTATTGTCCTACAAATAAACATTTAGTCTTGTATCAAACCTCAGATACCCCCTCCCTTCTTCGGAATCAGTCTGAATTGAAATACATTTTTCTATCTCAAAAGTTTTCAAAGTTGAATTTTTAATACATTTTTCAAGATATTAACACTGTTATGTTTTTGGATTAGATATCTAAAGTTTGAAATGTTTGTCGAGTATTAGCCTTGCTTTTATCTTTTTCACCCCCCCCCCTTCCCCATCTCAATCATCCCCCACTATGAGATAAGTAGATAGGGGGGGGGGGGGTTAAGAGGCCTGATGCAAGACTAGTCGAGTATTTCATAATGCCTATGTGGGGAGGATGCAGATTTGATACAAGACTCACAAATAATGAATAATAATGAAAAATGATGAAAAATCTTGTACTTGTAATAACCTACCATTCTTTGTTAATCTTCAAACAAGCCTTAACTACGGATGTATGATTTAGGATACTGAAACTTTATTTTTCGTGAATCTGGTATGGTTGAAATGTTCAATCAATGGTGAATAATCAAATAAACTTCATGCTTGGCCAATAAAATATCATGATAGTCAAGTCTCATTTTTTTATCATCGTGCCTCATATTTTATCAATTTTGACATCTTGTCAATGTGCAATTTCAAAGAAACATGCGGAAACTCTGGCTTTTTAAATGATTCAGCCTTTCAATGCTGTTCATCCAGTTCCTCTTTAAAAGTAAATGGCAATGGAATAAACATACAGTGATTAGTTTTTGACCATCATGAATATTTCTATCAGGGCAAAAACACTGAGAACTATTCACACCAAACCAAACTCTATCCATTAAAATCATTTCCTTTCAGTCATATTGAATATCCATGTCTAATTTTACAGTGAATCTTATTTGATAAAATTTCTCAATTTTCAGAATTCAATCCTTGAGTCTTAAAAATAGACTGAAAGTTTTCAAACCACACGTTTCATTCAAAATTACAAAATAAGATAATATAATATGCGCTATACCTGGACTACTGCAGAATAGTTTGCGGATGTGAATTCTGGGGGACAATCATTGGCATCTGTGACCTTGACCTCTATGATGCATGAACTTGATTGGGTGGGAGTTCCGCTATCTGAGGCCATCACCTCAAGTCTGTAGGAGTCAATCTAAGGAATAGAATAGGAGAATTATCAGCGATGCGATAACATAACTGCCAATAAGCAACCCTCATGAGCATTCATACATGATTTTTATGCTTATCTTGAGTTATTCTGTTCCATTTTGACTTTATTATTTTTTCATTTGTTAACTTTTATGATCTAAGCTAAGATGAACCAACATTGTTCAACTTACCGTTTCCCTATCCAGGGGTGAAGCTATAGTGAGCTTGCCATCCTCAGGGTCTATGGTAAACTGATTGCCAGCGTCACCAGCCACTATTTCATAAGTGATCTTGGCATTGGGGGCACTGTCGGCATCTGCAGCCTGGACCTGTGTGTACAATAATTTTTTTTATTTATTTTTTTTATTTAATTTTTTTTCTAAGAAACAATGGCAACAGATTTGATTATTTAATTTTTACCTTTCATTTGAGCTGATTTGAGGACCAACTTTACTGATTATACAGCAAAACAGAATTATGCCTTTTTATCTAAGATTCCTCTATTTAGAAAATATGTTTTCTGATTTATCAATTATATATTTTATTTACCTGTAGGACTTGGGATTCTAGTTCAACATCCTCTCTCAAGGTGACACTGTAAACATCCTGTCCAAATATGGGCTTCTCGTCATTATAGTCAGTGACGTTAATTTTCACATTTGCGGTGTTGCTCAAAGGAGGTGTTCCCCCATCAACAGCCTTGACACTCAGATGGTACTGCCTAAAATCCTCATAGTCCAAGGGTTGGACAACAGATAGATCGCCTAGAACATATGTACATCAGTATAATTTTCATCAGGGATAGGTTTTATTCATCCAATTTTAATGTCAATTTCATTCACCATATCCTCACCCAAATTATTTGTACTGGCTACTAAATATTTAATAATAGCACAAGTAACCCAAACACTGGGTTTATGCCTTTAGGCATTTCATTTTTCGTACCTGTTTTAGAATCTACTCTGAAGTTGCCGAGTTCATTCCCCGCCACGACCAAATATGTGATCTCTGCATTCACACCAGTATCCTTGCTTGTTGCATACACACGGGAGAAACTTGTGCCAATTCTCTTATTCTCAGACACCTCAACTTCGTAGACGTTACGCTCAAATTGTGGTGGGTTGTCGTTGATGTCCAGTAGGATGACCACCAATTGGGCAGTGGAATACATCTGGGGAGTACCCTGTTGGTGAAATTAAAGCACAATTAATTAAAATATCTTCTTACAAAAAAAAGAACTTTTCTCTAAAGTTTAATTTAATGACCTGATATTCTTGCCTTCTTGCAGAGTTACGTAGAGTACAGATTATCATTTGACATCTTAGTGTTAATAGTATATCATCAAGATTTAGAAAAATCCTTGATTAAATTGTTGCAATGTTGCAATGCTGAAATTAAATGGGGGAAACATACAATGACAAACAAAGCACATGGAGATGTATCTATTTGTAGAATTTACTATTATATAAGTATAGAAGTATGGAATGACACTGTAACACAATATTTCACATTACATGTACTATTGTACTTCTAAAATTAATCAGCTTTAGGCTAATTTAGTCCTCGTCCCTTATTTTTACAAACTATAGATAAATGTTCATTGATTGTTGTTGATCAAAATTAAAACCCAATATTATTCAAGCAAATAAAATAAATATCACACATATATGAAAAAATTAATTAATACTCGTACATTCATGAATTTGACAAATTGGAATGAATTTCTGAGAGAAAGGGGTTTTCATGAAGCGGCATGAAGTGAGAGTGGATCAGGTGTATAGTAAAGTGTATAAAAGAATCAATGTGTTGATTGGATGATTGATTGATCAATGATGTAGGGAGCCAGGTGTCCGTCTGCTCAATCTACTATGAAGAGGCTTACAACAATGACAAATTCTTACCCGTCCTGCTAATTGTGTCTTTAAATAGAACAAGATATATTAATGGAGTAAATATACTGATAAGTTTTCATGATAAAAATTAGCACAGAGATATTTTATTCATTTATCTCTTATGTTTAATTGTCTGAATATAATTTACCGAAACCACCCAGCTTATTTCTAGTTTTCTTCCAACCTATGAGTCCCATTATATGAAACATGTAACAAATACCTATACATTTTATTCCAAACTATATCTTATTTGGAATAAAACTCACATTCACCCCTGACACAAAATAATCTTATACTAGAAGCCATACAAATCACCATAATATTCCAAATTGAAAAAATTATGGTATAAAAATATTTCCCAAGCAAGATACTGACCACAAGTTGCCATTATTTTAGGTCCATTCCTTGATCAAATCATTGCCCAAGATAAAATTTGAGAAATATCCCAAATAGTACACAATATAACCTTATACTATAATCTCACTTGAACTTACAATTTGTCTCCAAAAGAAAAACTGAAATCATATAACATACTTTAATTTTGCTTTACTTTTGAGGCATTGTCCATTTTCAGTGATACTGTTACTAATATGGATGAATTGAGCATCGGCTTTGCTTCTGTACTTCCATGTTTAAACACAGCTGTCAAAATGCTCTTGTGTGCTTTGCCCAATTTAGATACAGGAACATTTTCATCGATATATTAAATACGAAAAGCATTTCAGTGTTAAAACAGGGGGTCAGTGCATTTCTTTCCACCTACCTGATCAAATGCCTTGAGGGTGAGGTTGTACTCTGCCTGGGTCTCGCGATCAAGAGGCTTGACCAATCGGATGATGCCACTCTGTGAGTCTATCTCAAAGTAATCCTGTTTTTCTAACGAGAATCTGACCTTCCTGTTAATACCGAGATCTTGGTCTGTTGCGCTTACTCTCGTCAATAATGTGTTAACTTCTGCATTTTCAAAGATGTCAACAGAATACTCAGGCATAGAGAATATCGGGGGATTATCGTTTACGTCGCTCAATGTAATGAATAATTCAGTTTCACATGATAGGCCACCTCCGTCAATAGCCGTCACAAGCAGATGGAATTCTGGGATTGTTTCACGATCTAACGTATCAGCGATCGTGATGATTCCACTTTCTTTATGCATGTTGAGTTTTTCTGAACCTTCCCCAGTGATGTCATAATAGATGCGGGTATTGATGGTGTCTGATTCGTCAGCATCAGAAGCAGTAATCCGAGCAATGAACGAATTCAGTGGTAGATTTTCTGGTATGATTATCTGCTCCATAGGCTAAAATGGAAGGATTAAGAATCATTAAGAATCATATTCACTATACCATATTCCTGAAAATAAACATTTAGTAGACTGATAACATAACACATGCGCCTATAATTTTGCATACAACTAAATTACCCCCTCCCTCCTCTTCCTTGCATCTCTTTTCCCCAAATATATTGAGTACAACTCGTAAGATGAAGGACATCGAGAGGGGGCTCAGAGACTAGGTAATAGTTGAATGCTTCTACTGTTTTAAACTCTATCATATCCTATACTCTACAATCAATGTTTTAGCATTCTAAAATAATTCAATAAATGTGTTTTTTTTGTACATAGCATACATTTTCAAAAATACAAAAGATGAGCACATACATCAGTTATGTTATTAATATCTAGGTGGGAGGGGTTACAGAATCTTAATTTCCCAAGATTTTGGGATTCTATTTCATTTTCCTCCCACTTTTTACATTAATTCTTCACTCATTTGAGGTAAACTATTCTTTGAATTAGGGATTTAATACAAGAGACCAGAAGACCACTTCATTACAGCAACATTATGTATCGATTACAAATTCATGTTTTAAATATGCCATGGTTATTTAGAGCCAAGCAAGCAAGAAAAAATCCACAAATATTTTGATAAAAGACATATTTTGATAAAATACATATTTTTATTTCCTAGGTTAGTACACAACCTCCCCCTACCCCCTGTCAGTCCTCCCCCTACCCTTCCCTTACCTAGAATCAATAATAACAATTACTTGGAATTCAGAACTTCTTGAATTCAAAGAATTGCGAAAATATTTTCAGAACTACTTATATCTCACAGATGACATTGATATTTATAAAAGCTAAAATGGTGCAACTTTCTTAAATATACATACAAGTACATGTTTATGTATAAATTGTGCTCAAAGAGAAAATACTTAAAAATAAAATCCACTGCATGTTAGCTCAATTTTGCAAAATAATGTTACAACAAATAAGCAAGCAAAACTATATTTAATTTAATTGTATTAACTTGTTGAAAAATGAATTATTATTAACTGAAGAAAAAATTTTGCAAGAGCAATCAAAATATGTTTACTATTTATGCAAAAATGATGAAAAAAAATCAGAATGTCAAAACTGTTATATATACAGGGTGTCCAAAATATATTTTTACAACTACAATATAAAGTCTGTGTGATGATGGACACTCTATATAGCAGTGCACACTAGGTAGCATAAAACATTCGTGTATCAAATGTATAAACGTAAAACAACACTAGCTTATAAATAAAACATTGACAAGTAACACAAATAGAGATGATGCTATAAATCATTCCTTTTGATGTCACAACTCGAAGCTGGGTTAATATGAAGTTTGCAACATCAAGAAATAATGCTGTAATCTCGCCGTCTGATGTCACATCACAAAAGCTTGGTTAATGCGAAAACAGAATATTAACATTGCTGGTAAATATGTATATTACGCATGCGCAAGATGCAGAGAGAGAAAGTAGAACTTATACCTGGTTTTGATAGACTTGAGCCTGCAAATCACACACATAAATGGCATCATGCTTTGGTTGCTATGACAATTGTAATGGTTGCTATAACAACTGATATAGTAGCCATAGCAACTGATATGGTTACTGTATAAAAATAACCATGGAGATAATCTTATGACTGTTATCTTCATTATATTCGCATCACAAAGGATAAATTATAACAATCAGCGCTACAAATAATGCAAAGTAATAGGGATTTCACATCTTTGTAAGTGTAATTGGATACCACCACTTAATTTTGTCAAAAGCAAAATAAAATGGAATCAAACTTTCACCCCATGCAATATTATCAATTTAAAAGTGATAAAACATTTAAAGCGCCAATATAAAAGATATGAAGTTAGTTTCGAACTTTGAACACACATAACAAATAAAGAAAAGACACACTTCTGAAGTTGAACCGAAAGTTTTGCAAAACAAATATATTTAATTAATACACATACCAGAGTGCATACTGGGGCATTATCATTTGCGTCAAGTACTTCCACAACAACCATGACGTCAGATACAAAAGCGCCATCTGTTGCTGTTGTTGTTAGTTCATATTTGGAGGTAGCTTCCCGATCAAGGGCTTTGTTGACGTATATCTCACCACTCTTTCCTACAGCAAACTGCCCTAGTGGGTCACCCCCAGATATGTAGTAATTCACCTAAAATAATGCAACATAATTTTCATGAATCTCAAACTCATTTTCCAATGAGGATATGAGTGTATAGAAATCAGTTTCCTGATACTAAATTGTGTAAAACAAAAGAAATTACCTTGGCATTTGGTTCAAGGTCAAGGTCAGTTGTGGAAACCTCTAGAATGATTGTTCCTGGGAGAGCGTCCTCATTGATGGTGCCTTGATAGAGATCTTTACTGAATATGGGTGGCTCATCGTTGACATCGGTGATATCAATGTACACTAAAGTAGTTCCGGAGAGGCGTTCTGCCCCGTGATCTATAGCAACAATTGTGAGCTCATAAGACTGGACCTTTTCACGATCTAATTCAACGAGGGTACTAATCCAACCAGTTTCACTGTCGATGCTGAAGATGTTTGCAAGATTGCCGATATCAGGGCTAAAGCTGTAGCTAATTTCAGCATTAGATCCGGAGTCTTTATCATGTGCGATGACCTGGATGACCTTTGACCCGACCTTGGTATTCTCCGCCATGTTGACATCATATGTAACTGACTCAAACATTGGGGGGCTATCATTGACATCCATAAGGTGAACCCTGGCAACAGCATGTGCCACAACGGCAGGGTTTGTTCCACTCTGGGCTTGAATCCTTAACTTATACAGGCTACATTCCTCATAATCTAACCCAGCGAGGATCTTGATCTCTCCTTTGTCATCAATACTAAATCGCTGTGGGTAGTTGGTATCTTTGGTGCTACCTGGTATGATGCTATAAGTCAATGTATCATTGCTCTCAGCCTCGATAGTTGCAATCACAGAACCTAAAATTTTAAAACAAATATAGGAATAAACATTATTTAACACTACAATACATATTTATAGTTTTATGTATATTTTTCAAAGTTTGGGAGAGCACCTCACCTAAATGTATCTCTAGGATATGTTTCTTCAAAACACTGTACACTCAATCTAAAATATTAATACTGAAATACTTTTCAAACTAATGGCATATGAGTAGCATTTCTTGAAATACAATGATACTGTTTTTGCAACTTTTATTCCAACTATGTAACTGACCTATTTCATCATTCTCCTGTATAAAGTAGGAGTACTCCTGGTGTTTGAAAACTGGAGGGTAGTCCTCCTCCCCTAGAACCAAGATCTCCACGGGGACACGGTTGTCAAGTTCAGGGTCAGATTTATCTGCCACACGTACGAACAGCTGGAACTGCTCACCAACTGGAGTAAAATGTCCATTAAGAGAAGTTTAAATCAAACTCCATGCATGTTAAAGAAAATTGTCATATTTCTCACTCTTTCACATTCTAAGTTTAAAATTAAACCGAGTCTTGCCTACATATATTTCAGATTCATTTCTAGCTAGTTCTACTCTTTTCCATAACCATGCCTTCATTTCCCCCCCGCCTCCTTGGAAAGGTGATGCATACATTATTACATCACAGAAGGAGTCCTACCTGATTGGTTGAGAGACCTTGCTACTGAGATGATACCACTCCTATTGTCTATACTGAAGTAAGGAGATTCCTCCACAGTCAGGAAGGAGTAGATAAGATGTCCATTGTCTCCCACATCCTTGTCACGACCCTCAACCTAAACATAACATGATAAGCCATGATCAATGAATTCTCATACAGTCAACGTGCCTTCTAAGCTGAGTTATGCAAGTTATGCAAAAATTAGATCTTGGCAAAAGGGGACTGATATTTTTTTTAATACTGAACATACATAAGGGAACTAGTCGCCATTTAGTATGAAGTAAAAGATTTTAAATAAAATTATATTTTGGCAATAAACAGCACTATTAAGACACTAACCTGTAGAACACTATATCCTAGATCTACATCTGAATAAACATTAGTCTTGTATTCTTTAGCAAGGAACACTGGTCTGTTATCATCAACATCCTGGATCTCTACCTGCACAATGGTAAAGCCAACCTGCAACCAGACAAGAAAATAATGCATACAGATGAGATGAATACTATTTTACCAAAGCTAAGAACTTAAGTATCATAATTTGAGTATCAAAAATCAAGAGAAGAGAAGAAATATTCTAAAAGATTTATCATTTGGTTTGTAATTTCATATCAAAAATCAAGAATGACAAGAAATATTCTAAGACTTATCATTTGGTTTGCAATTTCATATTATCTGACAATTAACTTCATTCCTTGTTCTTTGCATGCTAAATTTCCATAATAAAGCAATGATAGTCAGATCATTTTGTCAACTTACCTGCCCTCCAAAGTCCGTAGCAGCTATCGGGATGCTGTACATCCCACGTGTCTCATGGTCCAGTGCTTCCAAACTAAAGATCTCACCTAGGAATACAAGCATGAATGAATAAACACAAGGAGCACATGCGTCTTGAACTCGCAACTTCGTGGTTACGGCGCCCAATCGCCTAGCCTGAATGTGCCGGCGCTCAAGCCCTCTCGGCCAACTCGACAACCCCTGAGTTAGAAATGCAATCCCCAAATACTATAACATTTACGATTTAGATTTGAATGGTTATGAGTAGGTTATATTTTACTACATAATTTACAGTGTTGTTCATATTCAGATATTTGAACAATTTGCAACTTTTGTAAAAAACATTGTAATCTTTATGAAGTAAACATCAGTTACTTTAGCTACAAAGTTTCATCTTACCTGTTAGGGCATCAATTCTAAACATGTCCTCAGCATCGTCACTTTTAATAGCATAAGTCACCTCTCCATATTTCCCATTGTCACCATCATCAGCCGTAACCTTGGTAATCAGTTTGCCAATTGGGATATCCTCCTTTGGCGCCACCTTGTAAACAGACTGTCGGAATTGTGGGACGTGTTTATTTGATGGCTTAACATTGATTGTGACACGTGCAAAGTTCGTGAATACGCTGTCAGTGACAGAAACATTCAGTGTATATAGGGATTCCATGAGATCGGGAGTACGAAGGGTAGATAGCCTTATCAACCCAGTTTCTGATTCAATCGCAAATGTCTGTTTCATATTCCCCGCCACGATGGAGTATGTAAGCTCTCCCTGGTTGGAACTATCTTCATCAGATGCGGACACCACTGTAATAAACTGGCCACGTTTCACCTGATCTGTGATCGTCACCTCGTATGATGGTTGGTCAAATTTGGGGGAGTTATCGTTGAGATCAGTGACAATGACGGTGATGGGGGCAGTTGAGCTGAGAGCCGGGGAACCCATGTCAGTTACAACTGCGATAAACTGAAGCTTTTGGTGCTTTTCATGGTCAAGCAGCTGGGAGGTTGAGATAACTCCAGTATTACGATCAACAGAGAAGAAATCCAAATCATATCTATCTTCCTCTATGGGCATGAAGTCATAGTAGACCTGAAATGAGAGAAAACATTCATTATTATATGATTCCTATACAAGGCAAGAAACAGTTTTTTCATTGTTAATCTTTTAAAATAACAAGAAATTAAGTGCACTAGACCATAATATACAGTGAAACCTGCCTAAGTGGAACACCTTTGGTTCCTCTAAAAAAGTGTTCCATTTATAGAAGTTCATTTAACAATAAGTCAGTTGGTCTTGGAACTCTGAAAAGTGTTTCACTTCTACAGGTGTTCCACTTTACAGGTTTCACTGTATTAATTCTTAAGTAAGGTCAAGAAACAGTGGCTACTTTAAAGGTCTATTTTGCAAAGGTCTATCATTTGTAAGAGTTCTTACAACATTGAATTTTGAGGCTGAACATAGAGAAGATTTCATCTTTAATTTTTTAATTTTGGAACACCCCTGTACCATGTGAAATTACTTACTTTTTTATTCAATCCTGAGTCATCATCTGATGCAGAGAGAGTGAGTATAGATGTCCCTATTGTAGTGGCCTCGGACACTGTAGCTGTGTATGATACACTTGAGAATGAAGGGGTCTTGTCATTGATGTCCTAGAAAATTGTGATTACATGTATATATCAATTCTGCAATTTTAGTATGAGCATACTGCAGGTAAATTTTGAGACAGTAAATAACAAATAGTGCATTTACATGACAAAATGTCCCTCGTAAGTTATTATGAAATGATGAACTTAGTTTTAGCTTGCATATAAAATTGAAACGCCAACCTATATATATATGGCCAATCGCCCATACAAATGCATTGCTTGAATAACTTACGTTAACGTTTAGGTTTTGAAAAACAGTGGTAGCTTAAACTGTCTATTATGTCACGTTTTCATGACATAGAAATCTTACCAGTAAGTTGATGTGGACAGTAACTTCAGAGTAAGAGCCAGTTAATGTGTCTGTAGCTCTCATGATGAGTTCATAGCTGTGTCTACTCTCGTAATCCAACTCTTCAATTACAGTCAGCACACCTGTATAAATACAACATACATGTAATCTATGTTGAGAAGTCGTGTTTTGGATATTTCATGGTTATTTTCCAAATGTTCAGAAGTTTTTGAAAATATTTATCATACTTGAAAACCTAGGGTTAAATTGTTTTTGAATTCTCCATATCTAGTTTTTTGGGGTTTGAGGGAATTCTGAATTTTATTTTATGTCATGTTAATTGGTTATTTGATAATAATTATGAATTATATTTTGATGTATCTTTCAAATGTTTTCTCTTGTGTACTTTAATAACTTCACAATACGGTCAAATCATTCCTATTGGTTTCAACAAATACATGTTAAGTCCAAAATACCAAAACCCACCCAACCTGGCAAAAAGGTGAAGTAAAGCAATTTTTTTGAAGAAAATATGGAGTTAGAAAAAATCCCTTTCAGAATTAAAAAAATATTTGACAGAAAAACCCTCTACAATTAGGAACTATGAAGACCCCTTATAAGCACCATCATATTTAGTGACAGACCCTAGATCCTTCTATGGTGATTTGAAAATAAAAGGCTCTAAAACTTGGAACTAAATTGATAACATTGTGAAAACAGAAGCGACTGTTTATCAAAAGCAACATCTTTAAAGCTCAAAAAATAAATAAAGCAATATAACGTAAATAAATCAGAAAAATAAAATAAATATAAAATGAACTCATCTTCAGATATTTAAAAGACTGATTGGGGATCTCATGCTCTTTAACATGCAGGTTGTTTTTTTGGGGGAGGGGTGAATTAGTATCACAATGCACATAAACATGTTTATTTGAACACAAACAATTATTGTGAATCACAATGAAAAAATGAATATTGGTAAAAACAGGCGTACTTAACATGTTCAATTTAACACAAACAAACATTGTGAATCACAATGAAAAAATGAATATTGGTAAAAACAGGCGTACTTAACATGTTCAATTTAACACAAACAAACATTGTGAATCACAATGAAAAAATGAATATTGGTAAAAACAGCCGTACTTAACTAACAAAAACAGACAAATATCAAACAGGGGGATTATCACAATCATATAATAATCATTGAAAATGTTAGGCATTTGAATACAAACGAATATCATTCAAAACATAACAAAAACAACATAAATATATCTATGAAATAAACAAACTGGTTAACTTGGAAATGATTGGGTTATTGGCAAAAGCATGCAAAGCTTACATTTCAACAATCACAAATGAATGCAAATTCAGCTGTTGGCATATGTAACATCATCAGAAATGAATGCAAGTTCAGCTGTTGGCATATGCAGCATCAGATCAAACATTTATGAATTGTTGAAAAGTTTTGTTACATAAGATGACTTATATTAACCCATACAACATGACATCAAGACATTACTAAAACGGCGTAGACTTGGTGTCATGCTGACATCAGCATGGTGTCATACTGCAGGGTATGACATAATACTTGTGAGAATGAGCAGTCCCTCTGCATATGAGGAGAATGACTAGTTCCCCTCTGAATAAAGTGAGAATGACCAGTCATCTGACATAGAGAGAAAATGACCAGTCCCTCTGCATATGATGAGAATGACTAGTCCCTCTAAATAAAGTGAGAATGACCAGTCCCCTCTTATAGAGTGAAAATGACCAGTGAACACGTAAAGCGGAATAATGAGTGTATAATTGAAAATAGTGTGGTTAGAAACATATTTACTCACATCCATCGAGCACGTTCATGTCTGCCAGGGAGAGATGCAGGGAGAAAACAATAGTGTTAAATAATGCAACAATCTTGTATCAGTAACCCATCTATGCCATTAAAACTACTGTATACCACAGTCAGTTAATACTCAAGTTAAGAATCCTAATTCAAGTCAATACTCAATTCAAGAATCCTAATTCAAGTCAATACTCAATTCAAGAATCCTAATTCAAGTCGATACTCAAGTCAAGAATCCTAACTCAAGTTACGTCTCAAATCATTTTAAACATTTCTTTATTTTTGTGCATTGTTTTAGAATTTAACACATGGCATAAACAGTTTATTTTTAAGATAAAGTTCAAGCTCATATATTTTGTAGTTTCTGCTCTTCAATAGTCTGTATTGGTTGAATAATTTAATATGTACAACATCAAGTTTATGCTAGAACATTAGGATACAAATCATAGTTAATAGCTACAATAAAACCTGCCTAATCTAAACACTGGCGGAATTGCCCAAATGTGTTCAGATTAGCAGGTGTTCAATTTTCAATTTTTTAATATGCGAGTCAATGGGTGATAGCAAATCTGTGACCGAGAAAAAAGTGTTCATGATGAGAAGTGTTCTGATTTCCCCTGTTCTTACAATTTAACTTAAAACTTGTGATATTGAAGCCCTTGTGCTAACTTGAAGTGGAATATATTAATTGAGCAAGATGCAATTTTTGATTATTTTGCACATCTCTGGCATTCAAAGCAGTGTTTTTATCAAATGTGGATCTGTTACTGATGTTTGTATCCTAAGAATTAGTCAATACATCAAATGCATCTAATTTGGGATTTCACTCCAAACTTGTTAATAGAAGTATTATATCCTACAGTCATGCAGTCCTGAATATACAGTGTGAAAATGTCCATATCATACAAGGTTTGTTCAATAAATACTGATACAATATTCCTTTCTAAACATGGAAATGAGAGTATCTGTATTAGTATTTATTGAGCAACCCTCATTAAGTCTTGCAAACTAACCCAAGAATATGTCCAGTAAGATTTCAATGCCCCATGTTAATAAATGGAGGGTTCATTTTCAAATCTAGGAATTTCTTGGGGTTTACTTGACCCGTGTATCAGCAATTTATTTTAACTTTTTTCCATTTTATAAAAGCAGATATTGTGAGTGGTGACAATGTGTTTCTATAACAACCCATAACCTCATAATATCTATTACATGCACAAGGCTCCTTTACCGGTAAATAAATTTTCACTATTTTTCATTAAAGATCTTGAGGTACTACAAAATACTTGACAAAATTGGTGAAATGTCATTTCTACATTTAATCAAACTTTTGTTGAATTTTTCACAAACTTTAGATGTTTTTTAATTCTATTTTTCGGTGAGCATGTAAAGAAGCCTTTTTATTTAGTATAAGAATTTTGCAAGCATGCTTTAAAATGCAAGTTAAATTGTTACACCTATTTTACAAAGGAAATCTGAGGCCATTTAATGCTATTTTATTGAATAAGAAAATACAACGAAGATGTCTAAGTTGGAATTTCCTAGGCAACAACAACTGCTGTACGATCATCCATTGGTCATTCTTAAAGGTTTTGCTTCTTGTCATGACCTAGATAATGAACGTCTGCTAAGTAATTCATGAACAGTCATAAAGTTCAATCCCAAATATGGTACATCATTTTTAAAGCACACTCTGTGTTGAACAGGCAATTTTTCTTTAATGTACATTATCTATGCTAAAATTCGCTGGTTCTACACTAGCAAATAAAAATGTTTGAAATAAATCAAGTCAACTTTCTGTGAAACAGCCAAAGAATTCTTTCAGATAATGTGTTTTTTGGCATATTACAGAAAATGTGCCGATTCATAAATTTTAACATAGCCAATACAGGAGAAAATTGCCTGTGTATGTATAACATTCAAATTGACTCTATCTATAGCCAATACTCACCCATGCTAAAATCTACAGCAAACTCGTCATAAATGTCCCCGTCTGTGATAGAGTAGATGAGCTTGCGGCCGTTAGGACTTGTAGCCTCAATGTTGATGATGGCAGAGTGGAGCTTTATGTTTTCAGGGATGTCTACACTGTAGAAGGGAGCCTCAAACACAGGAGTAGCTTTGTTCATGATCTTCACAGGTACGATAACTCTTACATGGAGGGGAGGGGTACCTGTAGGTTAAGAGGAGTCAGTGGCATAAGTCAATGGCATATATGCCGGTGGTGCCAGTGGCATATACATAATGGCATAAGACTCAGAAAATATTAATGGATTCAAAATGCGAACACCTCAAAATGGAGATACTTTAAGCTGATTCCATTTCGATTCATAAGCTAGTATAAAGTATATGAAGCAAATTCCTCTAAACATTTTACATCTACTTTTTTCTTGCTGAGTGTAGTTTTCATCATTGGTTTTCATGTAACATGTTTTATGTTACAAATACAAGGAATATTTGTTGAATAAAAACAATTATTACCTTTATCTTGTGCCTGGACTTGGAGGGCATATTCCTTGTTCTGATCATCAGACTCCAATGATGTCATCACAGCTATCTCCCCAGACACTGGGTCAATGTTGAACTTGCCCTGGGCTCCATCAGTTATAGAATAGACTAGTTCACTGTTTGGGCCAATGTCTCGGTCTATTGCAGATACCTAAAATGGTACGAATGAGTATTACTTTGATCATTTAAAAATTGAAGTACATGAATAATGAAAGGTGAAATTCAACCTCAATCAGATGTGAAGGTTTCATTTCAAAAACATTCGAATTTGTATTATGCATTAAATTCAAATGTTCTGCCTTAAATTACATTGCATTGTATTCCTGTATATCATTTCGTTTCATATTGTGTTGTGTCGTATCGTATCATAATGGTATTGTATTGTGCATGATAATTTTAAGTCCAATTTCTACAGTAAAGAACAGTGATAACCCAACTTACTCGCTTGACCACATCTCCCATCTGTGCATCTATGGAGACAACAGCATAATAGGGCTGGTTGACAAATATAGGAATGTTGTCATTCATATCAGCTACAGTGACTCTGATCTCAACATGTGCGATACGTGGAGGATCCCTCTCATCTCTCACCTATAACATGACAATAGATGTAATATGGCAAGGTGAATTTGATGATTTAGATACAAATAAAAAAGGTTAATTTCTTGGTAAATGCAATGTTATGTCTTCTTTAATCTGTATTGACTTTATTTGTTATTTAAAAAAGGTTGGAATAAATTTTATTTTGAATTTGGGGAAAACATATACTATTTTCTATTTTTGATTCATTATCGGATCACTTCGATCTATATTATAATTACAATAGGTTTTCTCACCTCTACAATAATTGTGTAGCGGTCCTTCAGTTCCCTATCAAATGCCTCGCCAGTTGTCCGTACAACACCAGATGTCTCTCCAATCTGGAACATTGGATCAGGATTGAGGATTCTAAATTTGAGATGCTCATTGAGGGTGTGTCCCACTGGTTGAACCATAACCACCGTCATAACATCCGTCTTATTTTCCATAATCTCAACTTCATATACGTCCTCCTTGAATCCTAATCCTGAATCATCGGTGTGTCTGACAGTTATACGAGCATCACATGACGCGTCATAAACACCGTCAGTGACTTGTACAGTCAGGCGGTAACTCTCTGCGATATTCACAACATGGCGAACAGTGATATAACCAGATTCTGGATCGATTTTAAATGTGTTGTTGATGTTGCCAGATTTGATGCTGTAGATTAGCTGAGAGTTGATATCAGTGTCAGGGTCGCTGGCCTCAATGTGGAGGACAGATATGTCAGTAAAAGTTGGAAGGTACACCGTAGCCTCGTAGATATCTTGCTTGAACTTTGGTGGAGAGTCATTCACGTCATCAATATGGATGGTAACTTTAGCTGGCACTTCTGATGTCAAACTTGGCTTCCCTAAATCTACGACCTGAAAATAAATAAGTAAAAATATATTAATGAATGAATAATTGATTGAATATCAAAAAATAAAATAATGACTGTATCGCGATATTCATGTTTATTTTTTACATATTTGATATTTTTGAGAAATATGAATTAATTTTTACCTGGACTGTGAATGAATACTCAGGTACTGTTTCGTGATCAAGCTTAGTCAGCGTGCGGATGGCGCCAGTTGTTGAATCAATTGAGAACACGTGTCGTGCAGCTGGTTCCTGGATGGAGTAATCCAGCAGCTTATTCTGATTATCATCACGATCATTGGCCTTTATGACCAATGGGGCTTTAGTATCATCCAAGACAACGCTTCCTGATTGGCTGGATTCGCTGATGATGCCTACGTACTCCTGCTGATAGAATATCGGGGCATTGTCATTCTCGTCTATGATGTGTATAAGCACAGTGGTGTTGACCTTTAGTCCAACCATATTAGTGGCCTGGATGGTGAGGTTGTAAAAGCGATGTTGCTCATAATCCAATTCCTAATGAAAACGAGAAAGAAAATATAATAAGTGATTGTAGTTTGACACCTCCTTGTGAGGCTATGTGACGCAAGAAAGGTGATGAAAAAATGTACTAAATATTGGATTGAATATGTCAAATTCCCATGATCTTGAAGATTCTAAATAGTTTGTATACTGTTTTGTCTTATGTATCATCAAAAGAGCAAGCCAGCCTTGTATCAATAAATGTCACCATCTATGATAGAGAAGATGAGGTTGCAGCCATATTAGGACTTGAAGCTTCAATATTGATAATAGCAGAGTCTCAGGGATGTCAACACTGTAGGATGTCTTGCAAGCGTTGTATCAACAGGAAAGTAGCACACAATTGTTAAAATATTGAACATGTGAATACCTTCTTAGTTGTGATGACACCAGCACTAGGGTTGATCATGTAATAGCCAAGGGCATTGCCATTCACAATAGTATACATGACAGATGACCTGCTAACTGCCTGAACCACTGTGACGTACGTCCCAATATCCTGATTCTCCGCAAGCTCCGTCGTGTATTCATCCTTTTCGAATTTGGGAGGTGCATTGTTGGAGATTGTTACGTACACCTTGATTGACACAGTGCTGCTCAATGGAGGTGAACCACCATCTGTTGCCATGGCAACTAGGTTGTATTCTGATTGGCTATCACGGTCAAGCTGACGTGCTACCATGACAACACCCAATTTCTCATCAATATCGAATGCCCCTGCTACATTACCTATAACAGCAGATTATATTATAAAATTCATAATACAAATTTTCAAAAATGAGATAATGAAATGAATGGATGAAATCTGTCCCTATGCAGCCAATAACTAAGAAATACGACTAAAATATAAACATAATATTCTAAAGCATCCTCTATCAAATAATAAAAATGAAAACACAAAAAGTAATCGAAGAACTATTATGCAAGTAAAATAATCATTGACTATAAATGGGAGAACATAATCTAAAAGTACATGAAGATATGATGTTTAATAGTTAACTTTTATTATTACATTTCACTTGTGTTACAGTGATGTGAACTGAATATACACATTTTTGGTGATACCAAGTAAAAGAGGGGTTCAATGGGAATCTTGTACGAGAAAATCAGATAGACCCCCCTTTCATTGTATGACATAAACTTTATATTCAAGTACTATTTCAAAATTATTATTTGGATTTGGGTTTACTCCGTACTGCATTATATTACTCAAAGTGACCTATATTGTTCATTATAAAGTAGTCCCGGTAAGCCATTGTCTGCTGCACAAAAGATTTGGGTTTTAAATTTTAAAGAAAGCTGACTTAATCCAATACGGTGAAAATTGATAATGGGGGTCAGTTACTAAGCCGTAAACTAACCCTTGGGGGTTATTTCTATTAGGAAACATCAATGACTTTTAATCTTGACCAACCCCTGGAAATTCATAACCAAGGTCATGTCTTAAATTGCAAAATAGAGGAGAAAAGAGAGAAATTGCGAGGAATAGCGAAAACCAACATATAGTCAACATTCTAAATTGGTATAGAAATACAAAAAAACAGTACTTCTGTTTCAGAGAGAAATGAATTTGAATTCCATTCTTCTTCAATTTTTGCATTATGAATCTTATTCACAGGTGCAATAATCACACCTGAGGGTAGAATTCATTTATTGAGCTACAATTGTGAGGTAACAGACCATATTTATAAATCCAATTAAAAATTGAAAGAAAACTTGTCAAGGTTACATTTCCGAAGTAGAACTTGTGATAAATAAACACTGGATGGTTCTTAAAATAGAATTCTTAATTTCGGGAATGTTAAGCGTTAACTATACACTTCAATATAAAAACAATTAAATGCATGAAATGACTCATTATACAATGATAACTTTTGATACTTTCCGGGAGTAAGCTCCTTTCAATTATACCTGAAATTTTTCGTGTGATTTAACATGGCAGAAATTGAGCATAAAGGAAGTGTTCATCAAGTACAATTCAAACCTGATTCAATGTTCACCCAAATTTGAAAAATTCCTCAAGGTCACGTCTATTTCACCCTTTTCACTCTAAAATTTCAATGAAGTGTCAATTTTTCTGACATTGTTAAACAATATAAGGTGTTGTCGTCATGGTTACTTCGTTCATTCTGTGTCAATTTGACTCTTTTCCACTCTATTTTGCAATTTAATCACAACCATTGTGATATTTTCTACAGGGTGCCTACTAAGGACAAATCGTTTTATTTGGAACGTTTTTCACAAAGTGTCAGATTATGTCATTTGACTTGATTTTCAATGATCAAAACCCAGCCAAGTTAAATAATTTAAAAGTATACATAATTTCGCATTTGGGTGTTAATAATACATATTGTTTATTTAATATATATTATTTTCATTAAGTTTTAACCTACAAGTGTAACTTTGTCTGACTTTTGATTTCATGTTTCAGCTTGGTTTAGCTTTGGTTATTTCTTGGTTTAATTCATGTTATGTTTTGGTTAAGCTGCAACTTAAGCTGCGACTGATAAGGAAACTGCATCTTTAATATAAATCATGATCTTGAAAACGTTCCAATCTGTCTCTATCATAACCATATTAACACAATGCATCAAAGAAATCTCGAAAATCCCCCCTCAGTGATGACTTTTGTTTCTCATGCTAAGCTTCATCTCCACTTAAAATAAGCGATCATCCAGCAATTAAATTTGAATAATGAAACTAAATGCTTTAAATGGACTAATTCTCTTTGTATTTTGTGTTAAGAATTCTTCTTTCTGCATTGTAGTTTAAATGACCCCCTTGAAGGATAAGTGAGAAATATGAACCATCTCAAGTGTGTAATCTGCTTTGAGTAGTAGCCAATAGTGGAATTTCATAAGATATCATAATTGTTGCAGAAAAATGCTTTGAGCCTTGCCTAAATATCACCTCCAGTCAAACCATTTCCATGCTCTTTCTTGCTAAAATTTGAATAAACTGTCTGAGTTTTTGACTTTTCTGTACAATTTGGAATGTTGACTACAAGCCTGTTTACTTCATTCCTTGCTTTTTCAATTATTTTCCTCTCTATTTTGCATTTTAAATCATGACTATTATGACATTTTCAGGCACAGAGAATATTAACTTTCAAGACTCTTTATGGAGGTCTTATGTGTAATGCACTTGGTAAACCTATAGCACCGAATGCCTCAGGTAGTACTGAATAACGGCTTTTAAAATACAAAGTTAAAAAGTTCCTCGTAGAACTTTAGATTGAGAGCTTTTGTCTAGATTTCAATTCTATTGATTCTGTTCGAAAAAAATATAGTATGAAAACATTCATAGAAAGGGACCTGACTTGTATATGAATAGAAATTGAAGGTCATGAAATTCCAAATGAAGATTATGAGTATATGAACACTTCTATGATATCTAGCTAGCCAAGACACAAACTCAATGAATTTACACTAAAATGCAATATAATAGCAGCACACAATGATATATGAGTGTTTTTGAAGTACATGTACTACATATTTTATAACCCCTTTAAAACAGCTAATATTGCATAAAAGTCAAAAATTAAAAGGTCATCTGAGAAAAGTGTTCCTATATCCTACATCTTACCTATTTCAAGAAATTTTGGGAAAAGAAAAATAGATAACTATTTTGAGGAAAGAGTTTAGAATGCGACAGATCCAATAAAGCTTACACTGTATAAGGAAGATCTAAAAGAAATCACTTATAAGATATGGGCATCTATGTTTATATTTTTATATATTTCTGATGTTTTATTCCGAGACAGTCATTTTCTAAAAGCAAGGGCTCTGCATGTAGGTGAAGCATGTGCAATTATATACAGAACATTTATCGAGACAACATGTAAAGCACAAGAACATATAGAAAGAAAATTGACAAAAAATGAAATCAAAAGCGAAAAGTATCAACCACAAATATGAAATAAAATTCTAAATAAAATATCTAATAAAAATAGATATAAATCAAGGATCAAATAAGCTTATTATTCCAAAGGCTGCAAAATTCACTTCATTTCTCCCAAAAGTATCATATCAAATTTCAGCCATTCTGGTTTACATTTTTCTATGTTAGTATTAAATTAACCCTTTACAGCCCACATATTTCACGACGTTAGATATACAGCTGCCTCACGGTGTTTCAAGGGTTAGGCCGTGCTGGCACTGTGCTAAGATAAGCGGCTTTTATCATCTCATTTTGTACAATTTTCAACTTCATTTTCCAAGATTTTAGAGAAAGAGATTGACTCATTTAAATACTGTTTCATCAGAATGAAATAGTCTAAATGAGTTTAAAACTATGTATCTACTTTATAGAAATTGGACAGATTATATGTAGTGGCTGGGTCAAAATATTAATAATGATTAATTTTCTCAAAACTAATTGAACAAAGGCTACCCCCCCCATTTTTTCCCATGGGTTTACGCAACTATCCATTCCAAAACCTGGATTTTCACCACCAAAAATAATTAGTTTTGACAAAAATAGTCATTGATATCTCTAACCAGCCACTTAGATTCTAAAATATTGGAATCAGCGGAAAAATGTTGATTTTTAAAACTCATTTTTTACCTCTTGAGACCACGTCTCCTACAATTAAATACAAGTCAAAAGTTGGTTTATTTATGGGTCATAAAAAATAATTATTTGAAATGATATAATTAAGGACACTCAATTGTTTCTTATAGATGAAGAATTCAGAATTCACATACATTTACTTCTTATTTATAACAATACAACTTTTCTCAAGTTTCTTGAAATAAATTTCTCAATTTTAGCCACTAACCTGAGAGAAGGGAATATTTGATTTCTGCATTTTTTCCCTTGTCCTTATCAATGGCAAGAAGTTGAACAACTCTACTTCCAATGGCGGCTGTCTCAAAAACACGTCCTTCAAAGATCTCCGACATGAATTTTGGTGCGTGATCGTTGTGATCAGTTATGGTGATTTGGACCCGAGAGAGGCTACGTTTAGCGAGAGTTCCCTGGTCGCGAACCATGATTGTGATGTCATGTCTTGCGATTGCCTCACGGTCAAGCTTGGCAGTTGTTGTGATAACACCTGAAATTGGAATATGAACATAGAAATCAACATAAAATTTGCATTGATTTCTCAGTCAAATATCTTATTTTTCGCAGTTTGAACTTTTAAATCATATAACCCTGTAATTAGGGTATGCCCCAAGAGTTGAATATTACACATAGACTAACATACTCATGTCTAGTACAAACAGTCCAAAATTCATTGCACTTGGCCCACCTTAATTCCAAAATTCATAGCACTTTGCCCAACTTAAGGACCCAAATCCACTTACCAGTATGCTGATCAATCTTAAACTTGCGCATACTATCACCATGCATGGCTGAATGGAATGTATAGAAGAGACGTTTATCTTTATCAGCATCATCTGCCGTCACTTGTATGACACTGGTTCCTGGGGTGGTATTCTCAGAAATCTCTACACTGTAGACTTGTTGCTTGAATGTTGGTCTGTTATCATTGATATCAAGTACCTCAACATACAGCTGGAAAACACAATAAAAAATGTTATCTTATTTTAATTGAAGGATTTTTCACAAAAATATAAACACTTTAACACCCGTCTGATCCAAATGTCAAAGGGACAGTGTTTTCAATATTTAGTACATTCACTAAATTGATTGACATTTTCAGAAAAAAGTATACATTTGATTTTTTGGTGAGCTATTTACAGGTATTGCTACTTATAAGATTACATAATCAAATCAAATGATTGCAATTCAGTATTCCACATCACCATATGGAAGCAATTACAGTGTACTGTACATCTGAACCTAACAAATCATAGTTCTATCATATTAGGCAATTTGGCATAAATTTACCAACACATTCTTTCATTTCGAGAAATATGTATAAGAGATTATCCACTCTAGCATCATAAGCCCTTACTGTATAACTAGGTCTAGGAGATAGAGAATTTTGATTGAAATTCCTGAGTTCATTAATTTCAGTTTCGCTGTTGATCTTCATTGTAAATTACGACATGCTAGATCTGGTTCTCATAAGCTGAACTTAGGCAAGATTTTGTGGAGTTATAGCCAATATGGTTCACTAGATCAAAACTTCAAGAATTGTGCACTATTGTATTTAGACAAAAACAAATTGAAGTGTAGATTAAATTGGGGACTGTGAATTTCAAAGTAATCATGGTGGAAAATCATGAGGAAATCAAACAAAATACAGATTCACTTGAAAGATTGCTCTATCCTAGGGAGCATCATTTTGAAATCGAATACTTACCCAAGTATAGACAGTATTCACACCGTCAGTAACACTAATTGTCAGGTTGTACTCAGGGGTTCGCTCCCAGTCTAGTGCCCTGGCAAGTCTGATGTTTCCAGTCTCAATGTCAATAGTGAATGCAAACTCATCATTGCCCCCTACAATAATAACAAATACATCATGGAGTGTAACATATGTGATCAATAATTGTAACTCAATCTTTGTTTTTTAAGGATCAAATGGCTGAACATGTACTTGATTAGTATTATGTAATAATTACTATTTTCTCATTAAGATAGTATACTCTTTCCAATAGTTTTTGTTATTTAAAAGAGAGCTTCATATGCATTCATTCAAAGTGCTATATGAGCTGAATATCATTTTTTCATTGCAAACCTGTATCAAGATAATAGTGAAATACATCAGAAATGAAAGAGACATTGCGAATGGTGTTACACCTGAGAGGGACACATACCTGTAATGCTATACCAGAGTTTATCACTGTCCTCATCCTTTGCACTCATAATGCATACCATCGCTCCGATGTCATCATTCTCCATCATCTTGTTGCGCTGGTTGGGGTTAACAAACTGAGGCAGCATGGGAGATTCTTCAGGACGTGCGACAACCGTCATTATCACTCTAGAGCTAGATCGTTTCTGTGGGCGACCATTGTCAGTGGCTTTGATCTAGAAAGACATAATTTTAAAAAATGAAACTCTTTTTTGAAAAAAAATATTATTATTGGAAGGACATAAATTTTATCTCCCTTGGGATATCTTCATCACGTTAACCTCAGGATGTGGTTTACTGTAATTAGGGTACCTACATCTGGATGTTATTCCCACATGAAACACTGACTGTTTAACATTTCACATCCCAGAGCTAACTAATGATGCACACCTTGGGGATACGAGAGTATTTACATGTTATAGTGTTTTAAGGATATCTACCTCATTGTGTATATGTTTGATGTTTCATGTGTCAAGATATATTGATGGTGTTTAGGTACCAGGTCCTGGTTTATATCATAGTAACATAAACTCTTAAATTGTCTGATCAATCGTCTTTAGCTCTTTTACTGATATTTGCATCTTATATTCATATTTATAATTAATTAATGAAATGCTATACAATTAATGAAAAGATATTTAAATACCTGAGATATGATATACAATGGCTAGAATACTCAAGTTATCGACTATAATACTCAAGTTATTGACTACAATACTTGAGTTATTGACTACAATACTCAAGTTATTGACTGAAAATACTCAGGTTATTGACTGCAAATAGTACACAAACTGTAATATTTGACAAATTGACTGAAATGATTCACAAACAAAATACTACATACCGCTATCTCATACTCATTGTTGGCCTCCAGCTCCCTTGAAGTTGTGATGACCCCTGTCTTTGGGTGAATCTTAAATCTGTTGTTCCCTTTACTCTTCTTGATGCTATAATCAATATCGGCATTAGGGCCAACATCTTTGTCTTTGGCCACAACGCGGTAGAGCTCAACCTCCTCTTCTGGCTTTGGCATCGCCAGTACGTTGATACGCAGGGTTTTGTCGAGGAAAATAGGACTGTTGTCATTGGTGTCGTTAATGGTGATGACCACGCGGGCAGAGGAGGACATAGATGGCGTGCCATTGTCTGATACGGTGATCTGCAAATATACAAATGGTCAAACATTAGATTTTCAGACAACAGGCAAAATGAATGAAATAAACTCGCAAAGTTATGGAAAAAATTAAACATTTGGAAAATCATATTTCAATGCAATTTCTCTTTAATCTTACTCCATTTCTTCCTAAGAATCCCAAAATTAATTTACCTATTCACAAATATAGATGCATCTTCACTTTAATGATAAGTAAAGAATATGCAATTCATTTCACAAAACCATTTTGTTTTAGTGGTAATGAAATCCATAGTAACATGATCAAGGAAGCCATAATAATCATATAAAACCTAATCCTCCTGAAATATTACCACATAAAGTTATATCCCCTTGAAATAAGATAATAACATAAACTTTGTTCCTTTGAAATATAACCCCATAAAGTTTTATTCCCAATAAATACTACAACACAAAACCAGACGTTATGGCTGCCACAGTTAATTCTAATTTCATTATACAAACATTCAGCATATTTATATACCCTTGGAAAGGAAAGTATAATTATATACCATTGGAAAGGAAAATTCCCATTGCTGAACATTGTGTTTTCCTAAATGTCAATTCCCAAAAGGTAACGTTTTATATAAAATACATTTACTAAAATCACTTAACATTTATAAATAAAATACATAAAAGTCAGATCTAATCCTATAATAGTCTCTGCAAAAGTCCATCCCTCGAGTATACAATGAAAACCAATACAAATTACATTGTGATGATGCTAGTTCTATTAAGCATCCAAGTTGTATTTTAACAAAGGATATGTCTATTGGGAAATACATTTTTTGTAGATTAGATTAGGCTTTTACAATAACTGGGCTCAGGACTTTGGGGATTTAGGATAGTGAATTCCAACACAGTATACTTAACAGAATGACCTGTTTAAGCAAATTAGAAAAAATCATGTAGACTGCATAAGAGTTAAAATACTGATTCGCTCATATATATTATGCTGTATACACAGTATATAAATACATTTTAAAGCATTAATTCAATAAATGAGAAAAATTATGAAAACAAAATATGGAAAGAACTTAGCATTTCTATCTAATTTCCCCTAATATGTTCTTACAGAGCATCTAGTCAACAAATCCTTTTTTCCCTTTTATATGTTACAATGTTGGTATGTAAATTGCCAGAGGTGCGTCATGTCAGTGTGACCTTATGAACACATTCATGTTTTCTTCTACTAAAATAACAGGTTAAATCAGCTACAGTTAACTACACATTGGTGTCTGACATGAAATTTTAGGAGAAAATATAAATCATTTATGTTACTTGTCAGGATCCATAGCCAGTCGGGTTTTAAATAGTAGGTACAACCCCCCCCCCCTGTCAAATAAAATGGGTTTCGAAAACTAGACTTCAATTTTGAGAAAATTTTCTTATTGGAAAATGGGCCTCAAATTCAATAAGGGCTCAACTTTTTCAAGGATTCAAAGGATTTGTATGAATATTACCAATATCTTTTTTAAGGTTTTAATTTTGTCTAAGTATATGTAAGTATATCTAAGTGTATGTTCATTAAGCAAAATACATAATAATCTTTACGTTTAATTTGCTTGAATTTAACATAGTGCTCAATGGGAGAAAAGCTGAATGAATCCACTTGGAGATTTCCCTGGTTGATTAATAGCACTCTGTCTATATCAGGTAAACTCTACATTTTATCACTACCTACCAGAGCCTATCTCTGCTCTCCAAGGTGAACTATTTAGATATATCCTGGACATACAACCAAACAACTATAAAACTACAATCCATGATCCTAACACCCACACAAATGATAAGTCTGAAGTTCCATAGAATCATTTAAAAGTAGAAAACATATCAGAATAAGAAAGGAAAACCTTTAAAAAAGCAATGCATATAAATATAAAACAAAGAATCCTCTCACTCCTTTTTACATAAGATACAAACTGCAAAAAGTGCTAAGACAGGAGTTGAGAAAATGCCTGGGAAACAATTCCATGAAAGCACCTAAAAGTAATGGCTTATATTTTCATACACCAACAATAACAAGACTACCAATCATGCATATCATTGTGCAAACCAAGCTCAAGGGATGGCTAACATACCAAGAAACAATTTGTATCTCGTAAATTATATGACCTGAGATTACCATGCTATAAAAACACGACCATTTAATCCAGGAAAGCTATTAATTATATCTATCCCTACCTGCTTACCTTTGCTTAATTAGCTTATCTTCCTGGGAAAATATGCCCCCTTATCTATCATTGGTACATACTGGAGTTATGAATCTTAGATCTAACACGTTACTGCCCCTTTAAGAACCTTAAGTAAGTTTTTGAATTTTGGAGTAATGTACCTAGAACCTCAGCAGGTATGGAATACATCTGTTATGTATGGTCGGTTTTGGATACCCTCAAGAAATGTGTGCATCTCCCTTGGGAATGCATATTTCCCTTGGGATAGACCCAATATCAAAAACCTCCCAGTATGTAACCCATATCCATTGTGTATATGACAAGTACATAAGTATAACTCTCAAGGTAAGGTAAGGCAGTCTGGTCTAGTACTATAAGAATCCCTAAGGAAGTTGTGGTTAGTGTACAATGTGGTAACGTTCATTGTAAACTAATTACTTAAGATAGAGCTGGTATTACCTCAACTGATTGTAATTATGACTTCAAAGTGCCTACCATGATCCTATTATCATTGATCAGCTACAATATATCACTGTCAAATCATGCATTATAAGACTGACAAAGCATGCAGAAAATATTTTAAAAATTGACTTTACTTATTAAAACAAGTGCATGATAGTTATAGCTCACCATGTCAGCTAAAACATGCATCTTATCAGTTCATTACTCTGAGACAATGCATGGATATACTGCATTCTGATTGGTCAAAATATGACAATGCATGTATAACAGTATAGTACAATCTTAGAATAAGGAAGCTTCTAAGACTCTGTTACACCAGCAGAGCTACTGTTATGACATGATGGAAGGATGCCTACTAATTATTACCTTGAGTTACGTAATAATTGCTAATGAGGAAATAATAGGAGCAGATAGGTTGTTAGTATATCTAACACATCTATTCATATACTATATGAGGGTCAGCAGAGTGACTCGATTACTCACAGGGAGAGAGTAGGGGGGAGGGAGCGAAGGGGATCTTCTGGGCTTCGTTTTTTTTGTTAATGTTGTACACCCCCAATCCGCACTCTGAAATCACGGTACCATGTGGTACCGTATACGGTACTGTACCGTACTGTTTGCACGGTACCGTACGGTACATTAAGAGTATGGTACCATACGGTACCGTAGGAGTACGGTACCGTACGGTACCATATACACGGTACGGTACGGCACTGTGTTCACGGTACCGTACGGTACTGTTTGAGCTTACGGTACCGTACGGTACCATATTTCACGGTACCGTATGGTACCGTAGCCAAAATGGTACCGTACAGTACCGTTGGAGATTGGCTGTGTAAATGACAAGAACAAATCCAAAAATTGGCCCTACGTCTATCATGAAGTCTGAATCAACTAATAACATAATTTCCTTTCAATCAAACATCTGAAGATGGCTCCCATAGATACTATTACATGCTCCTCATATTTCAAATACAGAATTTGAGAATATATGAGTTAATGTGTAAAGGCTGTAGAAAACAGGGATGTAACCAAAACTAACTTGTACAGCTGTACAGAAATAATACTTCATATTTATCTTAAAAGGGAAATAGAATAGAATAGAACATAATAAGATAGACATTTGAAGATTAGCAATGCAATTCAACAGACATCACTAATTGATTATATGTAATTGAAGGCTAATGGCCAGTAAGATGCAATTACTTCATGTAACATCATCCATATCTACATTTGAATAGTCTATAGTGTTTCAATTCAAAGAAATCTACTCTCAGTGTAAGAGCCTAGTATATTACAACATTGGAAAGGATAAAGGAAAGCCAATGATGGCTAAAAATGTAATCTTTAATGTTCTGGTACACTAGTATCTTTTAAACCGTTGATTATGAATAAAAAACAGTTGGAATTCCTAGATGTCACATTGTATATTCCCTTTGACTCCTACAATTTACATTTTGTTTATAAAACAGTTGGAGAACCCCTGTCTAGTGACTTCATAATGAGACACAGATTGTATTATGTTTTTATATTCTCCTGTTCTGTTCTCAAAGAAGAGGCAGGAAATGTCAAGAGTTCTACAGAGAGAGAGAGTAGAAGACATGGAGGGTGGGGGGGGGGGTAGTGGGGGTGGAAGTAGGGGAAGGGGTACGAAAATGTGGGCATGAACTTGGTGTAAGACCACACGAAATTTAGTGTATTATATGTATAATATAATATAAAAGTATATATATTATATATAGTTATAATATTATTAAATGGCGTATTATATATATAATATAATATAATATAAAAGTATGTGTTATATATAGTTATGATATTCTTGTAAATGTGTATATGCATGTGTTTATTTATATATTTGTCTCCTCTGGTCCCCAGTCCCCAGTAGTTATATATATATATTTATATCGGTCTCCAGTCCCTCCTTTATATATGTTTGTGTATATGCATATACATGTACTTATTTAAATATCTGTCTCCTCTGGTCCCCAGTCCCCAGTAGCTATATATATATTTATATCGGTCTCCAATCCCTCCTTTATATATGTTTGTGTATATGCATATACATGCATCTATTTATATATTAGTCTCCTCTGGTCCCCAGTCCCCAGTCCCCAGTTACTATATATATATAGGAGAGGTTTTTTGAAAAACAATTTTGACTTTAAAGCCCCCTATGATTACCAAATTTTCTCAATTTTTTTCCTCAATTACAATAAGTCGAAAATCGATGATAAATTTGATGAATTTTTTAAAATCGACATTCCCATGTTAACCAATGGGAAATTAAATGTAGGTTTGCCGCAAGTCATATGACAGAATATCCATCCATCTGAGTCCTTGCAAAAATAC